TAGACCTCCTTCAAGAAAAGACTGGATTAGGTCCTAGAATCAATACATTAAATGGGGCAGATGGCCTACTTTTATTTGTAACCTTTCCTATGTTCTTCAAATTAGACTACCTGTATTTACAGTAAAAAATTAAAAATTACCAAAAGAATATTGGAACATAATTCAATGCATCCCTGCTATACTGATGGATCCTTTAGCCTTATTTTGAAGTTTCTCTCTTTTACAAGGAATGCTTAATGTTAATAATGGTTTACAGCAGACAATTTCACTCACTCAAAATACATTTCACCTGTATTTTCACTCTATTGTCTCATTGCATACATCTAAAAACAGATTTTGTAATACCCATATTTTGTGCATTACACAAAATTACATTTATTTCCCATAGCTTAGAAAATGTTTCATATATAAAATGAGATGTTTTGTTCTGAATTCTGTTTTAGACTTTCTACACTGCAGACCAAATGTATTCAATAAAAACAAGCTTGACAATTGACAGAACAGCTCTGCAACAAGAGAAACTGACACCCAACTGTAATTTCTCCTGACCACCTTAACAGTACAGTTGGTCTTTAGTTGTCACCACTGAATTCACAGTAGTGGTTACAAAAAAGCAGGAGAGCAGACTGAGCTTCTGAGACTAATTAGAGAGGCAGTCTTTAGCTCAAGGCTTGTCAACAGGACACCTTTTGTCAGGCAGGCTGCTTATATAGAATATAAATAAAAGCAGCAAACAGATCCAGCTATTCCTCTCCATGTGAGACTTAAAATTCTCAATAAAAACCGGACCTCGCCAAACCTACTACTTTGAATACATAAACTGCACATACCACAGTTGAGAATTAAGTTATTATTCCAAACAAAACAAGAATTAATCCTAGAACGTAATCAAATATTTTGTCTTTCATAGGAATGTTGTGATGTGTTGTGAGAGTTATTATGATTACAATAACACAAATATTATAGTTAGAATATCTGATCCCTGGGAGTTTAATTTATATATTGTATTTACTCTTGTACTGGTTTGACACATATTTCTTGTATGAAAAAATGCATATTTTCTGAATAACTGTGTGCACCATTTGTTTTTACTGATAGATTCCTAGAAGCCACAATTCCATAAGGAATGTCATTCCCAATTTCAAATTGTGTCAGCAAATTCACAATATTGATCATTGCACTGGTGACCAATAAACCATTTATGGGATCAACACCTTAATTAGCAAGCAGCTTGCCAAGAGAAGATAGCCACAACTTGTCAACCTTTGTCAGTTGCCTGCAGTGGTAAAAGAAGAGCATCAATTAACAGCAGTCTAACACATTAGTGCAAACAGGTGTGATCCGCAATACTATCAGAATATTTTCAAAAACAATTTTTACAGTTACACTCCATACTGAAAACTTTTCATTATTCTTTAAACTGTATATTTAAAATATTTAAATCCATTAGACACAAGTATAGTATTTTTTGCGCAAAACTATATATTCTGAAGCATTTTAATATGCATATCCCCAATTGTTAATTATGCAATACCGACTGCTGACTGTGATATTCCGTATTTTTGGAATACGCCTAACAAAAAGCAGTAGTTTACATCTGTTTATTGCAGACTATCCCTCTTTTGAATGATTGTCAGACTTTTTTCTGTATTCTTATTTACAATGCAAATTTTATGATATTTTAACATACAAAAATGTCCAAAGGAAACTGACTCACTTAAGGGGGTGATAAGGTTTGCAACATGCTGAGAAATGTACTGGATAAGCACAACAGACCTAGATAGCTACTGGAAACCAACATTTTGGTATTAGATGATTCCACAGCATCTGTTCAAAACTCTTTTTCCATTTTCCAAAATCTGTAGCTTTCCAACAACCTGTTTCAAACCTAAAACAAATGCTTTAAGATAAATGTTATTGTTTATAAATAGAAGTTCTGCAAAATACACAACAGCTATGGAGAAAAAGTAATAGAACGTCCTCAAAGAAACAAAATCAAGTGAACATAAAGCAGTTTAAGTTTGTATTTAAGAGAATTGTATGCACTAAACTTCAATATATTCTCTAAAGGTTAACTCTTGAAAATTAAAACCTTTCAAAATTGAAATACATTTTTTCATTTCAAGAAGGTGCCTTTCTTCAATAAAAAAATCATTGCTTTTGTGAGAGCATTTGTTACCATTTGTATAAGATGCTGTATTTGAAAAGCTAAAAAACTTCAAGTAAATGAAACATGAAACAATGTATCAACTGTAATTTTTGATGTGATTATCCAATTATGAAAACAAAAGGCAAATCCATCCATCTTCTAAAAGCTTTAATCAATACAAGGTTGCAGGGGAGCTGGAATCTATCCCAGAAAGCAACAGGTACAAGACATGACGCAACCTGGACAGCGTGCCAGTCCACTGCAGGAAACACACAGAGACAGACACACGCACAACAAATATCAGGGCCAATTCTCCCAGAAGCTCATTAACCTACCAGTACGTCCTTGGACTGTAGGTGGAAACTGGAACACTTAGCAGAAATCCATGTGCACACCACAGGAACATACAAACTCCACACAGATAGCATCTCAGGAACTGAACCCAGGGCTCCAGCATTGCGAGGCAACAATACTTACCACTGTGCCACCCTAATCACAAATAATTTTGCAAGTAAAGTTAAAGCTACTTTAAAAAACAGCATCTTTTTGTTTGGGATTTTCAAGAGGGGAAAAAAATCTGTTAAATTAAAAAAAATGCTTATATTTGTGCCTCCTCTTTAGCAAACCATTTACTGTCAAGAAAAAAAAAAATATGTAGGCCGCCTAAAACAGGTATCGTAAAAAATATATGAAACATTTATATACATATTATGTAGAGACAGCTAAGGAGGTAGTTAGAATATCAAAAGGCAAAGTATTTTAAACATTTGTCATTTTATTCCCTTAAAATTAAAATGTATTTCAGACTATTTGGGTTAAGAACTGCTTAATGCATATGAAGCAAAATATCCCTATGCCTCAATTTACAAATGTAATCTTTTCCTCAAAAACCATAAACCAAAAACAATGTCCATTACATTAGATGTTAAAACTTCCCAGGGTTTGGAAAATAACCCATTATTACCTGTTTTTACCTGAACAGAAACCTGAACTGTCAAAGTACACTGGGACATGTTTATGATAGCTACTCTTTTTACTGTAGTACCAGAGTTGGCAAGACAAATAGTCAAAATAAACTGTGTAGGTGCAGAGGTGCTGAGGACTTGTGTTGCTATGAGGAGGGCATCTTCCATTTGGCTACAAAGGACACACCTCCGTAATAGTAAAAATCTCTTCATAGCTAAGAAAAACAGGTATAAAAATGTATATATTCCTTGTAGAAAAAATTGGAAAACTGGCAGTTCTTAACTTAAGGGATTAGTATATTACTTATTTTTATCCCAACACCGCACTGAATCAAAGTAGAATTATTGCCTGCTTACTCTTAATTCCAACATTTGCCTTACTTAAGATACACTAAATAAATTTGTAAACAAACACTAAAAACTCTAATGCACTGGTGTACTGTGGAACCTGAGGATAGAACGTCACCTTCATCTACAAAGGACAAAACTCAAATACACTGATGTACTATGGAACCTGAGGATAGCACGTCACCTTCAGCTACAAAGGACACCTATGCAGGTAGCAAAAAACAAATTTATAAATACAAAAGGGAAAACACTGAGCTTGAAGATGTTAAAAAAGACAAGTGTGTCAGCATTATTTTTTAGCTGTAGGGATGCAATAAATAAAACAATTAAAATTAAGCATGATACCTTAGAATGGTACAATGAACTAGTGAGACTGTCCACAGAATGACTAATGAGAATGTCCACGATATTAGTTATCACAATAAAAGATAACTAATGAAAAGATGTTACTACTATGGAACTCTATACTCAGAGGAATGTCCTACACTTACAAACTAAAATAAATGTTTACAATTGATCAAAGAAAACTGCTAAAGGACTTGGTTCAAGTATTCAAAATCCTAAAAGGCAGACAACATTATCCCAAAGAGCTCCTTCAGAATCAACAGTGAAACACTACAAGTTACAAAAGAAAGTTACTTACGTTACTTAAACTAGAGGGAGTCCATGAGGCACACAAAGGGTTGTGCGAGTCTGAAACATATTGATGTTTCAGCCATGTTGAAACAAGTCCAGCCATGTTGTCAAAACAATACCACTATTCAAGAAATACGTGATTCATATGTTTAGCTATTGCTTTACTAGCTTGTAGCAAAAATCATACTAGCTAGAGTGATTGGTCTCCTCTTATCTGTAAATATCTTATGACGGGAAGCCAACAATTATTTCCACACTAATGGGAAATTAGCATTGAGACAGTTGTAGTCTCTAGATGAAATTCTCCAGAATTATATTTTTTGATGGAATTTTGATGAAAGGATGTTTTATCTGTTGGCAAGGTGTAAAAGGAGACCAGCTATTCAACTGAGGAATGTATACAGATTTAAGAAATCTCATTACTACATTTCTCTCTTAATACAGATAAAGTAAACATTTCATGCAGAGCAATTACATTACCATTGAACAGTGAGGAAGTCTGCAAATCCTTTAAAGGTAGAATCAATTCAAGTGACACAGACAGCACTTCTAAGTCACCCACCCATAACAGAACAGATCAGATAAACAGATTTGCTCAAGGACAAACAAGTTTCAATGAATTTAACCAATTGTGGGCTCCAAGCAAAGCTAGGAACATTCTATTAAAAACCACTCCTATGATAGTCACATTATTATATTATGCAATTGAATGTACCCTAGAGGCTACTATTACTTTTCACCTTTGGAATTTATTACCATGGTCACAACTTAATGAAATTACAAAACTTCCAAAATTATTTTTCTGCGCAACATTACTTCAGTAATAAAGAATAAATAAAAATCATATTTGAAAATCTTTCAATGAAGCGGATTTTCAAGAAAATAACACAAAGAGACGTCACCAGTAAATAAAAGAATGCTTTAATAGTTTTCCAATGCTTTAAAAGCCCTATTTTACACAACTTATGCTTCAAGTCCAGCCTTATAACATCAATAATGCCTTCTCCACTAAAGTGAAAATAAACAGCAAATAAGAGGCACTGCTGGGCTGGTTGGTGAATTCTTGAAAATCCTGCAGTGCATTTCAATATACCATTGTACTACTCCTCTCATTAACTTTGCACACCTGCCAATCACAGGCAGCCCACCGGATTCAGACTGAATTCCTCTGCAGCACAAATGAAAGGAGAAAAGCTGGGCCCCAACTCTACAGGTAGACAAAATAAGCCAACCATTTAGTTATTAATTTGAAAAAATACAACATATATCCAATTTCATTATAATTTCAGAGGGTGATTTTACTAGGTAGGAAGGCATGTTCTATCCATGATTAGATTCCCATTCCAACATTTTACAGCTCCTTTAAATACATTTTTCCCTGCCTTGCTCAAATCAGAAAGACAACCGATGGCCATCTCACTCAATCTCATCTCAATAAATCACGGATTGCTCACGAACGGAGTGAGAGGACACAGTAAGTGAGGGACACGGTGGCAGAGTCAGTCAGCCTATCGACGATAGACTCCAAATGCTGCAAAGCTGAAGAAGATGGTGATGCCAACAAGGGAGGCGGTGGCAGGGGCGGTGAAGAACTGGCGATACTGGATCTGGAAGTACCACAGAACTGAAAGCATGAGCACGAACAAGGGTACCATCAGACTACCCATGTTAAGGGCCACATGAACCTGGTCAGCTGCCCGTGCCCCTGCAGGCACCTGTGGCGTGGCGTGCTGAGATATGTGGCAGTGCAGGACACAGTTGTCAGGCAGGTTTAATGAAGCAAGGGTCTGGGCATCATCTCGCAAAAGCTGTCCCTGGTATATCAACCGCACCTGGTGCTCCTGGCCTGCAAAGTAAGTTCTGCCAATAAATAAAAAAATAACAAAAGAGAGAGAAGAAACAAATATCAGTTACTGTTTTGGGTCTTACTTTAACAACACAATAGGTATACACTGGGATAACCTATAACAATTAACCTTTGCTTAATTTATGTACATTGCTTATTGAAAAATCACATATGAAGTGTTCATGGACAAATAAATTTCATTCATTTATTGTGAAGTGCCCTGTATAAGGGCATCTGATATTTCACAGTGACACTGTCTTTCCTGCTCACAGCTTTTGACCATAGCTCAGAAAATGGAGTGCAAAATGGGTGTTTCAATTTTATCCAGTTACACCATTATGTAATTACCACTAGGTGGTACTGTTATAATACAAATCTGAAGCAATGTGAAACTAAATTATTATTCATTATAATTTGTTTACAAAAATAAAGAAGAAACTAGATTTTTGCAATATAATGACAAGACTAATGCAATGGGGTGCAAATTACAAATTGTAAACATTTATACCTAAAAAAAATACATAAGAAAACTGGCACTTATTACCAGATACAAGTACAGCATTTCTACAGCATATTGGTATGGATTGTCTGCAGAGAACATGTAGGTTTAAACTATCTGTCATTCACAAAGCTCTAACAAAGATTCTGATGTATACTACCATAAGTAATAGTTATATTTGAACCAAGAAAATAAAGTACTCTTTATTCTGTAAGTCTCTGGTGAGTCCTTTTGCTGGAGGCTACTCCAACAATTCTACGGGTATTAACATACAATATCTTCAATTCTCTTCAGTCACAACACCTTTATAGGCGATACAGAAGAAAGAAAATACCTCTTGCATGGAGTTTCATAGACAGACTAAGGTTGTTTTTTTTTAGCCTGGAAAGATCAAATGGGAATTTGATTTGGGTATTCAAACTTCTGAAAGGCACTGACCAGGTCAGCTGAGGAGACTCCAACTTCAACATTTGTGTGTCATTTAGGACAGAAAACAGTAGATTGTTCTGTACGCAGAATATTGTTAATCTAGAACCAACTTTGACGACTGGATAAGGGCATCTGCTAAACATATAATGTCGTTGAAGCCAACTTAAGCTACTTATGACCAAACAAGAAAGATAGCCGGAGTACGCTTTCATTTGTCAGTTCCATTTTAGTTTGGTTTAGGTTTTTCAGCCCTTAAAAGAAGACTTTGAACTGTTCAGTACAGCACATACCTGTATATAGAATGCAATTATGACATGATATTGTTACTGAACTGCTACTGACATGGGGTTATTTCAAAATTCTGCTTTTTGGGGAATTGTTTTTTCACACTAAGTTGCCTTTTTATCTAATTGGCTATGATCTCTAACTGAGTAGGCTTTGAGAGTCTTTGGAGCAGTTGTGTCTGTCACATCGTCAAAGAAAGAGGTAGAGCTGTACTCCATCTACACTACTCTCTGTGCTCTCCTGCTGTGACAAGAGGAACCAAAAAGAACATTCACAAACAATTCAAAATCCACCATGTAGGCTTTCCCAGAGATGATTACTGACAAAAACGAACTAAAACATAACATCTGTATAAGCAACTGGTATTTCACCATGACAAACTCATATTGAAAGAAGAACTAACAAGGACAAAGGCACAGAACGGGATTGTTATTTTCATCCCAGGATTATTTTACTCTATCTGACATCCATAAAACAGTGTGGCTACCAGACCTGTCTTAAAATGTGATCTAATTCAAATAAAGTACCACCATACCTCCCCACTAAGCCTCTTTCAAACTCACTATTTGTAAGCACTCTTACTCCATCAGTAGTTTCATCAGGCATTTCATCATACCATTTACATAGTGGAAACTGTTACCTATCTACATGAAGGTGATCTAAGCCTACCGAAGTCCACTGTAATTTCATATGGAATACAAAGTTGGCATTGTATTGGGCATTTAAAACTTCCTGCCATCTAAGAAAAGATTTAAAATAATTCCACTAATACAACAACAATACTAATAGCAAGAATGAAGACTAAGATGCCCTGTGTTTTTGTAAATATTCATGCAAGACATCAGATTTTATATTTTATTAAAATCTGTGTTTTGTATAAATAATAAGGTCTTGTAACAGATTTAACAGGCACTGGATTGTATAGTGCTTTTTTTCTTAATTTAAAACATCACTTTACCCTAACTTCAAAACCTTTGCCTTTTATCATTAACTGCATTATCAAAGATTACACAACGGGTCACCAGAAAGTATTACTGAGCTCTTCACCAAGGAGATATCCATAAGAATATTTTTTCTGGGAAAAAATAGACAAAGTGTATAGACAAAAGGATGCAGTTATTTCCTTAGAGCTTGAATGGCTAAAATGCATATCTGTTATACAGCAGTAATAAACAAAAGAACTGCATGGAACCATGTCTATTAAATGAAAGTCTGACATCAGGATTACAAAAAAAAAATTGTGTACCATGCCTTTGAGAGAAGTGTTTCCAGATTTTTCTTACTGCTGCTGTGAGATTCCCCTAGTGTCATTCCCAAGCACAGGCAATGACAAACACCAAAACATGGAAGAACATTAATGCACAATACTCAGACTAAAATGGGGCATAATCAATACTATCTTTGACATTCACATTATAACTGTGTCAGTATCTGTTTTATCTGCAGAAACTTTTACGTTTCACTGCAACATCATTACAGAAAAAAACAACATAGCTGAGTTTCTGAGCTTAACATAATAGGGACTAGTCTTTGGTAAAGGCAGGTATTCATTGTGCATTGCAAAAGTATAAATGTATTGATAACCCTGCTGATACAGGGTCAAAATATCATATAAGTGAAAGATTCACTTATAGGATAATGTGTCCTGCTAAAAAAAACCCTAAATAAATCATTGCAATGTTAATAGCACTGTGATGGGCAAAACTGTTACAAGTACAATTCTCCCTATGTTAGATGACACTCAATGCAAATTTGGCTTTACATAAAAATATTTCTGTGGTGCACATAATAAAATTGTTTCTCAAAATGGAGAATTTGTCAAATTTACACGCATAAAAAACAAGTAGTGCAGCAGGTTCCTTTTGCGGAAGAATATCATGGAGTAAGAGTAATGCAATCTCCACCAGCATCAACCAGAGCAGTTTTACACTTCAGTGTCACTTTGCTTTCACATATGTGAGGAATCCTGTGTCTATTACTACCGTTTTTCATTGAAAATTATGCGCATGCGCAGTAATTTTTATTTACTGTATTTAGTTTTTAGTTACTGAGGAGTACAGCGTAGTGTAATGAATTAAAAAGCAATTCTATTTACAGTCACAGCCAGGTGATATAAGGGAGGATTGCCACAATATCATGAATAGTAATTCTCAATATGTATTCAGGGAACAGGTAAGAAATTGTCATTTCTGACTTACAGAAGACTTGGATTCCATAAGGAATACAATTTGCAATCTGTAAATCTCTGATATGTTTTTCTTCTTATTTAATCAGGACTACAAATATAACTTGAGCAAACTGTATGCAATTACTATTAAGTCTAAGTCCCTATTCTGCATTGCTTCAAAATGAAGGGTTTGTTTTGTGAAAGAAGCTGATTTATCAGTTAAAATGTCAATAACATAAGAAGAGTCTCTAGAGAGGGTCAATCATGAATAATGCATAAATGTATTTAAAAATTTAAAAACTCCAGAAAGAGAAATCAAGACTTTTAATGTAAACATTCAAAACTGAAAAGTACAATTTACAAGACAACATCATTCTTTTTATTTTCCTTTATCAACACTGCAGACAGAAAATTGGGTATATAAACAAAAAAGACTTAAAATGCAATTTCAACAGAATTTTTGTTGTGAAGTGAATATATGTGTAACCTTCATGTACTGAAAAATCAATTCCATGGGTTTATATTTAAATTATAACCCAGTACCCAACATTTTAGGATTATCCTGAAAATATAATGACATACCTTTTTATATAGCCAATGGTGTCCTCAGGCTTGACTTGTGCCACTCTTTCAGTATCATTTAAGAATTTAAGCCGGAGCACCATGTTCCTCTGGTCACTGGAATCACCTTGGGAGGGCTGGGCATCGGCATTTGAAGCACTGGGCTGAGGGAAGTCGGAAGGACTAGGACTGATTAGGTGACTTCCTGCAGTCTCTCTGTGTCGCAGACCTTCTCTGAACACCCCACCATCATGGCTCGCTCTCTCTGGGCCCTCCTCCCCCCCTGCTTCTGATGGGGGCATCTTTCCCTCATCCTCCTGGCTGTCAGGGGCTGGAGTGGTTTCCTGGTGGTCTGTGCTGGATGGTGCTGTTGCTCCCAGTGTGCTCTGGGTTCCAGTCCTGTGCTGGGGGACTGTGGAGGTTGTCGGGTCTGAGGTGAAAAGCTGCTCAGAGCGGTCAGCAGTATGAGTGGAGGCCCAGGCCAGCACCAGCACCAGCACTAGAAACACCACTCCAAAGAGCAAAGTCACCTCGTCCCCTACACCTTCAATCAGAGCCATCCTGGGTGTGTTCGGGACCAAGGCAATGTTCAGCTAGGCACCTAGATGGAGTAGAAAAGTGCTGTCACATTATCAGGCAATAAGAGTAAATTTTACTATTGAGCGCTGCATTACTGTAACTGCCACATAATCAAGCTGTACAGTTTCTCATTATTTCATGGAGATATTATTTTATGCAGCTTCATAAGGATCAAAAACATGGTCATTCTTTGTTGTGAAAGAACTGTTCTTAGTAACAGATTACATTTATATTTATATATAAATTATAAATATAAATTATAATTTATATATATTTATATGAAAAAACAGTTGACTGTATATCCACTAATGATCTTTTCCAGGGCAAGATTTTCAGAAACGTACGGAAAGCATTAAAACTAAATGTTTGCCATTTGCTTTCTGCCTAAAGAATGTTCATTTTTCTTACAAAAGGGTAGGGAAAGGTGAAATAAAGCGATAATCCCATGAAAAATGCAACAATAAGTCAGATTTTAATGAAGTGATAAGGAATTTATAGCGCAGTGGAACTAAATACAAGATCTTTGAGTTCCACCTCATTCATCATCAGAACTGCCACCAGCTTCCGAGAGGGAAACATTTCCTCAAGCGACAGGGGGTATCCTCTAGGCACAGCTACATATGTCATATTTCCATTTTTATCTCTCTCTTAAAAAGCACATTGTGAAAAAACTTGGCACAGGCTTTCTGAGCCATAACATCTTGAAAATTATGCCTGGGTAACCTAGTTTTTTTTTTAGAAGTCCAAGGCATTTCCTTGGTTAGATTAGTGATGACTTTAACTTTGGCAGGAGACAAGTGGGAAGCAGGTGATTACACAATACAGTACATGAAAGCAAACCAATTAAGGCAAGAAAGATGGACCGCTGTTGCTATAGAAAGCTTCTGGTACATTAATAATGGATTAGGTGAAATCAGCGTATTGAAACGTATGTAGCTGCTCTGTACCAAAAAGCCTTATTAACACCTGTCACTTACAGGTGGCTAAGCTAATATCTGGAAGAACATTAATAAAAGATTAATCTTTTTATCAAAATCAGGGATAAACTGAGAACTGCTTTATCTTTTAATTTTGGCTTTAAACAGCAATGTTGCAGTTAGTGATATACAATTTTTTGTAAATTCTTTGGAACCTGCTTGGACAAATAGAGTAAAACCTGAGTTCAGACATTCAATACAGAAAAACAACAGTGCCTTGAAGGATCATTTGAAATAGCTTTAAGAAGCAGGTATTTTAATTATTTAACAACAACCCTAACCTAATGTAGTTTAACTCTTCATGCCCTTCATATTATAGAAACACTTTCTCTGAAAGAATACTAACTCAAAAAATAATAATCTAAAGCTATTTAAAGTGCCTTGTAAAAGTATTCAGTGTCCCCAAAAAAAGTGTCCCATTCTGTGATTGTAAATTAATGCATTCACATTTTTAAAAACTTAAATGCTCAAACTGAAGGTTTCTAAGGGTTAAGTTACAGTTCATGTCAGCAAAGGAGAAAACAATTGACATAAGTTGATTGCATATGTATTCAGAACCATGAACTTAACATGTGGTGAAAGCACCTTTGGTTGCAATTATAGGTGCAAGTCTTTTCAGGTAAGTCTCTACCATCTCCTCATACTAGCTTGGTGCAATTTTTATCCATTCTTCTAGGCAGATTTGCTCAAGTGCTTTCATGTTGCTGCAGGATCACTTATCAACAACAATTTTCAAATCTTTCCATAGACTCTAAATATAACACAAATCAGGACTTTTACTGAACCGCTTAAAGACAATCACTTTCTGATTATTTTTTTCACTCCACTGTAGCTGTGACCTTGTGCTTTGGATCACTGTCTGTAGTGTCTGAGCGAAAATGATGAAGCAAAGAAACCGAAAACTTACCATTACCACAAGAAATGGGAGCATGATTATTTTTTTGTACGATCGCATTCAAATCTGCAATGCTAGCATCTACGTGAAAAAGGGAAATATAGAACAACATTTCAAAACTGCACACAAAACATATGATGTGGACTTTCCCGCTAATACTGAGTTACGGAAAAGAAAAGTGGAAAAATTAAAATCTCTACTAGCAGCGGTCAGTTTTCACGAGGCCTCATAAAAGAGGGAAAGCAGCGATCATCGCATCGTTCCATGTGAGCCACGTTCTGGCTAAACACAACAAGTCATTTAGGGATCGAGAAGTAATAAAAAAGTGTTTTCCGAGGCTGTTTGGAGATTTCAGAAACAAACATTTTTGGCGAGGTTCAGACAGCTGTTGCCTGAAATCAAAGTTTCTCAAGTTGTCTAAACATGGTGAATATGCCCAATTAGAGGATGACCAGTGGCTTCTAGATTTAGCATTCCTCACAGACTTGACTGAACTGCTGAATGAGTTGGCTGGCGTTGGGAACAGCACCAGATACAATACTTGACATGTAGACCAAAAAAACCTTTTGTCACTTTTTTGCAGGATCATGCTTTGTTGCAAACTCCAGGATATGGCAGGATATAAGATGGGTGTCACTTTGAGTGACTGGGATAATGTTGAGAGATTCACATTCTCTTTTATCTCTGCCACTAAACTCTGTCGTTCTTTCACGGTTGTTATTGGCATCTCTTGCCAGTTTCCTCCCTGCCTGGTGAGTAGACTGTGCTCACAGTGATATTCAGAGACTTATATTTTTGTACACTTCATCTAATCTTTGCTTTTCAATTACTTTATTGTACACTTGCTTTGATAGGACCTAAGTCTTCATGGTTGTGTCTTTGCGTGAAATTCACTACCGTACCAAGGATCCTAGTTCTGAAATAATGAAATCCACTATTACTGCCCCCAATTTGCACTTAAATTAATTTAGGTTGCTTAATTAAATGCTACTTCAAAGTGTCATATTTGAAAGGGTCTGATTACTTTTACAATGCACTGGACAGGCAGCGGCACTTAGAAGTCTTGAGTGCTGAATATTATTAGATTCCCCCCGAAATTTCAAAATCAAAAATGAAGTTTTTTTCCATTCATGGAAAGGAAATTTTTGACAAGTGTGAACTTTAAATATAGCCAAGATTCTTTTTTTTTTTAGTGAGACTTAATTCACATCTGGCTCTTTGGGAGTCTCTGGCCAGTGTCTGCCTCAATTCTGCAGTATCTTTTGACATTACTTTGCAGTTCTGCCAGACCAGAAGCCCAGGTTCAGAGCTTTTCTACTGGCAAGACATTCAAGCAGAAATCATCTTACATGTGTGTTTTCTGCTTCAGCTGCAAATGTTATCATTTGATGAGGTTCCAAACAAAATGGTGTTTATTATAGTATTTATCTTGCCAGTGCAGTGGTGACAAGGATGTTTACATGGATTCTGCAACTAAAGTGTCTGCTGTCTGGGGATTGCACAGCCATGTAAACCATTAATCTAAGGTGAACAAATTCCAGTACAGCACTGTAAATGTGGGAATGAAACCTTTAAAAATGTTTATGCAGGCCTCTAAAATAATGATGGAAAACTTGTTTTTATGTTGATCCTAAAAATCATAAGCTCTTCAATTCAAATAAAACCTCATTAGTGTTAGCCATGCACTGGCTGTAATTTCATGGGTGTATTGAGAAAAACAAAACCAGAGATTCATCTTATTTCTTAAATACAACCATTTCATTTTTTGCACTGATAAACCACATGGCTTCCACACAATGTTCCTCATCTCACGCTTCTTAACTTTTAATTCTAAACCAAATTCTTACATTCAGTGCACAGATTTTATAATGAAGGTTCTTTAAGAGACTCAAAAGTCACTGTCAAACATAATTATGCAAGCAAGTATAAATGTGCTTCTCTGACTCATTTAGAATGTTCCAGAAGCTGCGATAAACTCAATATTGCTCTGACCTGCTACCATACTGTAATATTTAAAACAATTAATGTGGCATTAATGATATTACTACCATTTAATGTCAATAGCTTATAATAGGACAATGCATTGATGACAAGCTAAAGTTTGTTTTAAAATTTGAGTTGCATTTTCTGTAACAGAATATAGAAATTCTACATAGATAATTTTGTTCCCCCAAGTGATAACACTTCATACCTATCATCCCACAATTAAAAAAAAAATAAGTTGTCATTAGAAACTAACATCATTAAAAGACCCTGAATTTTTTTTAACTTTGTGTACACTGCATATTTCATACTTTATCAAGTCTTTTCCAATGTCCAAATTCAAAAGTGTTCTACCTTAGTAATTTTCATGGTAAAATCCTTGAATTGTTTCATATTTAAAAGCTAATTCTGTAACACTAACCGTATTCATTGGGTAGTGATTTGCCAAGTCTCAAGAATGCCTTATTCATAATACACGAAAAAATCATGTTTACCGTATCATAATCTTACCCAGGAGCTGGTCCTGCAAGCTGTGCAACAGCTGCTGTGTTCAAAGCCTATAGCCTTTATAGACTTAATTTTTCCACCCCAATGTGTCTCTTCTGCTTCTTTCCCCATCAGTCCAAGTTGAGTAGCACCTCAACAGGACTATCTGGGCTAGAGGCTGGTCTGTACACGGACAGGTCCCAAACAGGTCTGAAGCAGTCCAGTTTTACGTCATATTTAATTAAACACTCCAGGCGAAAGTTTCCCCAAGAGGGGTATAGATGCAATGTGTCGAATGTTTTGGATTCCATTTACAACATGGCAGGAAACATTTGAAACATGGGGAAAAAACTAATTTGAGACTAAAAAATAAAAAGCTTTTATAATAAAACCTGACTTGAAATGGTTTGCAGTAAACTGTAAGCAGTAAGTTTCATAGGCTGTGAGGCATAATTTGTTTTAATTGTTTAGCTAGATCTTGTGAAAATATACTTTCTGTAATTCAGAAATATAATGTGGTAGGCACATATCTTGGGAATATTAATATACGGTATGACCTACATGTTACTCATGTCTTTGAAACAGGACAACAATCTATCATAAAGCCATCTAAAACATTTTACACTGAACAAGTGCTACTTTTGATCCATTAAATTATCAGGTTTGCTGATAATTTCGCCA